ATGATTCAGTGCTGGACTGCCAAAGGAAAGGTCGGTGATTAGAATAGAAAACATTTTATTATGACTTGGGTGTGAAAGTTTACAGACCAAGATGGTTTACCTCTCAGCGACTCATACACGTTTTGTTTTGTCACATGGATTACAGTTCCCACAATGTAAGAACGCTCTTCCAGTTCCTCCCTGTTTCCATTTCTCCTTCTTTCCTGCCCCTGATTTCCAGCTGAGCTTTACGCCTGGGCGAATGTTGCATTTAGATCTGGTATGCTTGATGGTTCTAAGAAGCGCGCACCTCGTGTTGGGGTTCCCCTTACAGGCTAGGCCTGTCTGTTGATCCACAGGACTCAGGGCCATCATCTACGGGTTCCATCAATCTCTCTCCGACCAATAAGCCTTGCCGTTTTGATGGTTTTGGTTCACGTTTTCTCCCACTCCCGCCTGTTCAGAGCCGTCAGCCGTGGGAGCCGGGCACCATCTAGTTCTTCTGGATTCAGGGTGGTGGAGGCTGGGGTTTGTGGGGTCAAAGCAATACTTTCTTTATATCTGACCTGATAAACACAGTCTGACTCCCGTGGAAAAGATGGATTTTTACCACAGATGTTTGCTGAGAACAGACCATTTGGGGTCTAGGCCATTCCAAATACTACTTAAAGGAAAAGCTAAATGCATTGACTTAGTAAAGATTTCAGAATTAAGATTGTCTTCACAAGATGGCATTTCTGAACTTCCTTCTGATCCTTTTCCTTGCCATTAAAATCCCAAACCCACTGCCATGAAGTTGATTCTTACTCACTGCAGTGCCCTTGTAGAACAGAGGCCAACTGTCCTTCGGACTTCCAAGACTGGAAATCTTTACGGGAGCAGACAGACTCATCTTTCTGTCTCAGAGCGGCCGGTAGGTTTGAACCGCTGACCTTGTGGTAACCCAACTCTTAACCCAATGTGCTTCTTGAGCTCCTTTGTTAACCCCAAGAAGGAAACCAAGAAATGGCAGTTGTAGGAGAAATGTCCTGCTCATGGCTAAAGAGTCCACCTCAGCTTGGCGCCCTGGCCCTCGCTGACCTGTCTTCCTCTTCCTCCCACATCTGCCACTGAACTGCAAGCTTCTGTTGTTTGCATCACCTGCCCCTTTCTTGTCTCATCAAACACTCAAAGACTGGTCCGGATATAGTGCTGTCTTGCCTCATTTCTGGCTCATTTCCTCCCTGCTTCCTCCCCACTTTGCTACCCAGTGGCATCATTTCCGACCCACCTGTATTGCCTGAGGGGAGGTCAGGGGTCACCCCCCACCCCCACCCCTCCTACTGGCCAGTCCAGTGACCTGGTGTGACACTTTATCTGTGAGCTCTTTTTTCCTCTTCTCTGTAACAATAGGATCGCATCCGATGGTTTGGACTCAGGGTTTGGCAGAAGTTGTCTCAGTCTCCATATTTCTTCCTCTCTTGGCCTGTCAGATAAGAAAGACAGTCAGGGACGACCCGAGGCCCCTCCGGGCACCGATACAGGGAAAACCTGAATGGTTGCGGGGTGAGAAGATGTGGGTGGACAGAGAAGTGTTTTGGGTGCTTAAAAGGGTGGACTTTTCAGGACCTGTAATGTGGGCAACTCCACAGCGATTGGTATCTCGTTTCCTTTCTAGAAGCTCAAGATGCTCAGTTTCACCTTTGTCCTGTGTATTTTCTGCCCTGCTCCTAGAGAACTTAGCCGTGTCTCTAAAGAGCCTTCTGGCTGTTTTTTGTGTGTTTTGGAGGATGATCTTAGAAACCAAGATCTGGGTGCCAGTCATACTGGCTGCCTCTGGTGTGGTTGCCTTTGCCTGCAGGCCTCCTCAGCTGACAGGACAAGCAAACATCCCTACGTGTATACTAACCCATGCATGAAGGGAAGTGAAAATGAACTGTTACTGAGCTTCCTGTTCATACATGCGCGGGTTTCTTCCAAACAGAAAATGTGTAAACCTGTCTCTGTGATCGGTAGATGACTGCAGACAGGTTCTCTCAGGAAAACACGTGTCTCAGTCTCATCCGTGTGCTTTGAAAACAAGGTCCAATCAGAACAACCACTTCCAAGGGCATCTGCTGGGCCAGTTCAATTCAAGGCAGAGAGGTCAGCCCAGAAGGTTGTGGGGACTGTTTACTGGGATTCCCAAGGGCTCATCTTGATAAACTTTTTCAAATGACTCGGGTCAATAATGGGGGCTTATTAGGAAGAACATTTAAGAAAATTGAAAACTGTATTGGTAAGAAAAAGGCTAAGAAAAGTTGCTCTGAGTATTCCCTCCCCGCCCCCGCCCCCCAACGACAATGCACTTGCTCAATTCTTCAAGGGTAGCAAAGGCTGTCCTAGGGGAATTTAATTGAGAAATCTTACCCCGTCCACCTTACAGCCTTGATTGCCACTTCAGACTTCTCTTTGTTCCCCAAAGTCAAAGAACATTCCACAGGAACACGATTTGAGTTCCTCAAAGACACCAAAACTGCCATCCTGGTGTGAACTGAGTAGCGCAGGAATCTTTGGGGCAGGGTTAGAGGGGCAGGAACACCGTCTCCAGAAGTGTGCAGCTCCAGATGGGGCGAGCGTGTGGAGAAACAGTAGCTTCCTGCTTTGCTAGTTTTGTTTAATAAAGCTTTCTGTGATGTGGTTGCAATGCTTTCTGACTTAGCCTCCATATGCTGCTGTTATTGCAGTTAGGTACAACTCACAGTGACCCCATGCACAACAGAACGAAACAGTGACTGATTCTAGGCCAGCCTCACAATCGCTGCTACGCTTGAGCCCATTGTGGCTGCCACTGTGCCCATCCATCTCTCTGGGGGTGGCGATGAGTCAGAACTGACTGGCTGGCATACAACCACCACCACGATCTCTTCTTGCAAAGCATCTGGTGGGTACCAGTTGCCAATCTTTGAGTTAGAATCCAAGCGCTACACCACTGCGTCACCAGGGCCCCTCCATTCACACTATGGTGACGTTGTCCTTAAAAGTCACCTGGCTGTAAACGTTAACCTTCACAGCCACATCTGGAGTAGTGTTTGACCAAACCCATGGGCTCCACAGCTTAGCCTGGTAACACACAAAGTTAACTGTCACATCATCTGTGCTTTAAGCAAAACATGGTCTCAAACTGATGTCCCTGACTCAAAGCCATTACCCTCGAGGGCCATTTCAGCCTCTTCCCCTTGCTTGTCTGGAACCTCCCACTCCTACGTTGGACAGCTGCCGATCTTTCCAGAATATCATGTGATTGGAGTCATAGAGCGTGTCACCTTTTCAGCGATCATACACGTCAAGTTCCTCATTGTTAGTGCATGGCTTTCCATGGCTGAATAATCCTGCATTGTATCCAGGAACCAGTAGATTTATCCATTTCCCGGTTAAAGGACAAAGGAGCCCTGAGGTGCTGTGGGTTAGGTGTTGGACTGCTAAACACAAGATTGGCGGTTTGAACCCACCAGCTGCTCCTTGAGAGAAAGATGAGGCTCCTTGCTGCTGAAAAGATGTACAGCCTTGGAAACCCTCAGGAGCATTCTGCTCTGTCCTGTAGAGCCGCCATGACAGGAATCGACTCCATGGCACTGGGTTGGGTTTGGTTAAAGGACGAGTTCGTCATTTCCAGTTCTGGGTACATATGAGTAGAGCTCTTGTAAGGACCACATGTAGGTTTTTGTGCAAGCATTTTCAAATAAGTTTGACAGCACACATGTGTTTTGTTTGCCCCACTCAACCGTGGCCATCGAAGAGTCTCCTCAGGGCTTTTTTTCAATCAAGTCTAGTTTACAGACTCCTGGTGTGGCTCTGTAGGATGAGCACTGGACTGCTAACCTAAAATTTGGTGGTTCAAACCCAGCAGCCACTCCACAGAAACCCTATAGAGGGTCGCTGTGAGTCAGAACCAACTCGACAGCACTTAAAAGCAACAGTTTTACAGACAATGAAGTTACGTTGCCAGTGGTTACCAAACTAGCGGGTAAATGAATGAATGACTTGTTTCTGATGATCAGTCTGCTGAGTTCTGAGTATCTGAGAGGTAAGTCAGGCAGCTCATTGATTAATCTGGCTGCTAACTGAAAGGTTGGGAGTCCAAACCTACCCAGAATTTCTGCGGGAGAAAGGCATGGCGATGTCTTCCCGTAAAGATGCCAGCCTGGGAAAGCCAAACGTACGGGGCAGTTCTCCTCGAGCACATGGGGTCACTAGGAGTTGAGAATGGATGGGATGACCCCAGTTACAACAGTAAGAAGTAGTTACTCAATTCTACTGATCCCTACATTCATGCCAAACCAAGAAAACCTTCAGATGAATAATACTCTTACAAAACAAACTACAGGCTGTGGATTCAGTTCTGACCCTGGTGTCCCCGCGTGTATCAGAATAGAACTGTGCTCTGTCACGTTTCCAGCGGCTGGCTTTTCAGAAATAGCTTGCCAGGCCTTACTTCTGAGGTTCCCCTGGGTAGATTTGAGCCTCCACCCTTTTGGTTAGCAGCAACAAGGTCTCCGTTCTGAACTAGGTGCCCTGTCAGTGTTGGTGATCTGTTGTTTCTTTTGTCTCGGCTTGAGACTGTGGCTAATCCTGTTGGCTCAGTGATTATCCTTTTATAACCTATTCTGAAGGGAAGTTGCTCAGGTGGCACTGTGACTTAGGTGTTGGTCTGCTGACCACAAGCTACTCGGTAAGAGAAAGATGAGGCTGTCTGCTCCTGTAAAAGTTTACAGTCTCGGAAACCCTGTGTAGGGGTTGTAATGGGTTGGAACTGACTCTGGCTGTGAATGTGTTTTTGGTATTCTGAGATGATACCCTACCGGTTAAGTAATTGGGCCTAGCTCTAAACCCACCGAAGCAAACTCAGTGCCGTCTGAGACAACATCTCAGCCTTGGTTGAGCCTACAGACTGGGCTCCTGCCCATCTGGCAGGAACGTGATGTGGCAAGGCGAGGCGGCCCAGATGAACACCAGTCCTGACTGGCCTCTGGTCTCTTTCACCAACAGATTCCAGCCACAGAATGGAGTGCAAAATGCTGGTCAACCTCGCCCACCAGATGCTGCGCCGGAAGGTGGTGGACTGCAGCCGGGACGAGAGCCGGCTGTCCCGCTGCCTCAACACCTTTGACCTGGTGGCCCTCGGAGTGGGCAGCACGCTGGGTGCTGGTGTGTATGTCCTGGCTGGGGCTGTGGCCCGTCAGGATGCCGGCCCTGCCATCGTCATCTCCTTCCTCATCGCTGCCCTGGCATCGGTACTGGCTGGCCTGTGCTACGGCGAGTTCGGGGCCCGTGTCCCCAAGACGGGGTCAGCCTACCTCTACAGCTACGTCACTGTGGGTGAGCTCTGGGCCTTCATCACCGGCTGGAATTTAATCCTGTCCTACATCATTGGTGAGCACAGTGCCTGAGCGAGGGCCAGCCCCATAGTCAGTCTTCTCTCCGTCCCTGCCACAGACTGCGGGATCCCTCTACTTCCCCACGTAGACCACGAGCCCATCTCCACCCAGTGTCCCCACCATCTGTCCTGACTGTTGCCTACCATTTCCTCTTTTCGTGGGCATTGCTATGGCTATTAGACCTGCTCTTATCTGTACCCCTCTTGCTCAGTTGCTAATGAAAGGATCTACCCAGAGGCACCCCGGAAGAAAGGTTTGGCAATGTATTTCAGAAAAATCAGCTGTTGAGAACCCTGTGAGTACAGTTCTACTGTGACACACACAGGGACGCCATGAGTGGAATCTACTTATGAAACATCATCCACTGAGAACCCTGTGGAGCACAGTTCTACTCTGACACACACAGGGGCACCATGAGTGGAATCTACTTATGAAA